CCTCCCTCCCTCCCTCCCTCCCTCTTCTTTCTTCCTTCTTTCCTTCCTTCCTCTCTTATGTTCTTCCTCCTTTGCTTCTCTTTTCTTTCTTCCCCCTCTCCATCTTCCCTCCCTTTCTCTCCCCCTCTTCCTTTGTTCTTTATGGCCCCCTCCTGACCGCCCTCCCTTGAACTTTTTATCCCCTCCTTTTTTAACCCGTCCCCTCCTCTCTCCCTCTCTCCTTCTTCTTCCCTTTGCTCCTTTGTCTTCTTGATGTATGATGATTCTGATCTTTCTGTCTCTGCACCTTCCCCATCTCTCTCTCTCTCTCTCTCTCTCTCTCTCTCTCTCTCTCACACACACACACACACACACACATGTTTCAGAGAAAAATAGAATAGTTGCTAGGAGGCCCTGGAAACAGTCTTGAATGGGCGCTGATTTAGGAAGTTGGAGCCGACTCATGCTTTAGCCCTCGGCTGGGTTGCTGACATGGTCTGTTCAGGCTTGTGTAGTATTTTCTGAAAACTGAATTAGTTGCTGCTGTTGAAAAACCAGGAATTTTGTATAAAAATGTGTGTGCCTGGCATCTCTTGCAAGTTCAAAACTGTTGACTCTGGGAGTAACTGTGACGTGGGAGGGTGGCAGGGGTTGGGAAACAGCAGACAGGACGCCCATGGCTTCTCTGCTTTTTCCCAACCCACCTTTTCTGTCTTCACCCGTGTCTGTTCCTACCTGACCCTGGACACCCACAGTTATCTAACTAAGCTGACCTGGGTTGTCCAAAAAGTGACAGAGGAAAAGGTAATGTTCTCCATTCAAGGAGGCTGGACTCCTCATGACCAGGAGAGAAAGGGGTTATAGGGTCACAGGGAAACAGACAACTGAGCACCAAGTGCTGTATCTTTGGATGCTACACATAAACCTCCTCAACCAGCTTTGCCCAGAGCACAGGAATGTCCCCCAAAGAAGCCTCCATCTCCCTTCAGGCCACACAAGCCTGGCCAGCAGGTTCAGGAGGCCCCAGCCAACTAGACAGAATATCCCAGCCCCTTCCCAGTGTCCAGGTCCTGTCAGCCAGCTCCCAGGAGAAAGGACACACCCCAAGGGGAAGGCACTAGAATTCACACTCAGCTTGGTCTTGCTGGATATTACGCTGCATCGTCATAACAGTAATGACTATTATTTTTATTATTTTAGCTTCCTTGAGAGAGTTTCTCTGTGAAACCTTGGCTGTCCTAGAACTCACTCTGTAGTGTAGACCAGGATGGCCTCGAACCCACAAAAATCTGCTTGCCTCTGCTCGCTGAGTGCTAGGATTAAAGGCATGCATCACCACCACCTAGCACAATTAGGCATTATTAACACTTCAAGACAATGCTCAATGCTTCAGATCAAGGCAGCCAGGAGGACTACATTTCCCAGACTTCCTTGCTGTTGGTGATAGAATTCCCTGCACTGTATCCACACTGTTCCCACTCAGCAGAGGCCTTGGAGAACACATGTTGGAGATGATAGTGCCACAGGATTGAATCCTCAGACCCCTGAAGACTGCTTAGAGCCCAGAGTGGACTGTGATTGAGAAATGTGTACTGTCGTGCTATTCTGATATTTGGAACCTTTTGTTACAGCATTCCTTGACTGATTGATAGATATACAAACTATTTCCCAGCATGTAATTTATGTGATTTTTGAACAAGAGTCCTGTGAGATTGGCAGGTCAAATGTCATTCTGTTTTATGGATCCCAGGTCTTGTCCTGTTTTGCTTCTCTAACTGCAAATGCCATACTTACAGGGACCCTAGGGAAGCTGGGGAGACCGCTGAGTGGTTAAGAGCACCAGCTGTTCTTTCAGAGGACCAGGGTTCAATTCCCAGCACCCATATGGTGGCTCACAACCATCTGTAATTCCAGTTCCTGGGATCCAACGTCCTCTTCTGGTCTCTGTCGATATCACCCACACAGACACACACTTGGGCAAAACATCCACATACAGAAAATAAAACCTAAAATTTAAAAGCCTGTCATCTTACAGAGGGACAGAGGCTCCTGTCCCAGTTTATAGGTGGGGTAATGAGGCTTGGGGGGACTCAAGGCCACAGAGCTGTGAGAAAGAGGGCTTGCTTGGTCAAATGCTGTCTTTGAAAGTCGAGATCACCGGAATAAGGCAGACTCAGGAAGACAAACATGGCATGTTTTCTCCCATAGGCAGAATCTCTGTCGAGGTGTGTGTTGGAGGTACCCTGCTGGTTGAGGTTGCCTGGTTGGGACAGCCATTGTGAATTCTGTGTTAAAGGCAGGATTCCCTCTCCTCGGCAGGGTCCCCTGCTCTCTTGACTTCATCTGGAGAGTGTCTTTAGCCACATTCTCTCCTAACCACATGTACTATATGGCCGCTGACACAGCTTCCTGCTGGCTCTCCCCTCCCTGTGCCTACATGTTAACCAGGTACTGTTTCCATTCGTATGACGGAGCGTGCTGTATAATGCAAATCAAGCATCCTTGAAGTGCCTAGTCCCAACCTATCCTGGGAGCCCCCCTCCCCTCCCCAAGGGGTGTACAGCCGCTGTTCTCTGGAATTAAAGTTGAACTAGCCACCAGCTGTTCCGGGGGGGGGGGGTGATCCTAGGGTGTGTGCTCCCCGGCCATTTCAGGCATGCTTCTTGTCTCCTTCCCCTCCTGACTTCATGGGCTGCTGAGGCATCCCCCTCAGGATGAGAACCAACAGATGTGTGTGAGAGAGAGAGACAGAGGCAGGGAGAGACTAAAGGGAACTGTGAAAGGGAGGAAGGAGTGCTAGCAGGAGTAAGGGGGAACCAAGAGTAGACAATGGAATGTACATGAGCTCACATGGGGGCAGCGGGAGGAACTGTGTTCTCTGACTCACTTTTAGGAGCTTGGTAATGGGGGCTGGAGAGATGGCTCAGAGGTTAAGAGCACTGTCTGCTCTTCCAGAGGTCCTGAGTTCAATTCCCAGCAACTACTTGGTGGCTCACAGCCATCAGTAATGAGATTTTGTGCCCTCTTCTGGCCTGCATGTGTACATGCAGGCAGAACATTACATATATAATAAACAAAACCTAAAAGAGCTTGGTAATATGCCTTAGCAGGTCTTATCACCACAGTTCAACAACCTGCAAGCAGCTAAAGGCGCACATAAAAAGCGTGTGTTTGTTCCCCTCGCTAGGTATTCTCACACTCAGGGTGTCACAGACCCTCTGCCTGGGCAGATGGTCCTCCCAGGCCTGAAAACATGCTTGTCCATAGTACTGGCTTTCCTCACGGAGCAGCCAGGCCTTCTGGACACGCCCTGACATGCCCCCACCCCACCCCACACACTGACCTGAACTCTCCATGGAGCCTGTCCTGGATGGGGGGATGTGCTTGTCTCGACAGCAGAGTGGAGAGCGGAATGGCAGCTTCTACCCAGAGGTTGCTCTGCGAAATAAGAGGCAGCTTATTAGTGTGAGCGGTAGGAAAGTACAGAAAGGGCGTCCAGGCGCCCGCCTGCCAGCGACAGCTGAAAACTCTGGGCAGTACACACCACGGGGCACCAATGTGAGCATCCTAAACAGGAAGAAGGAGCAGGGAGTGGGCAGAAGGAAACCAGAACTCAAGGAAGAACCATCTAGCAACCAGACTTCTGTCTTCCCCATTCTTCTCTAGCCATCTTGGCATGACACCAGTCTAGCAGTCTGAAAAAAAAAAAAAAGGTTTAAGGTTGGGGCTGGGGACACCTGAGAGATGACTCGGGAGTTAAAAGTATGAACAGGACCAGAGTTCAGTTCCTAGCACGCATACTGGGCAGCCACAAACCCCCGTAACAAGCCAGGTTTCGGGCGATCGAATGGGCTCCAGGAGCCCCGCACTCGCATGCCTGCTCACAGCTAAAAAGGATGCCTTTAAAAAGAGAAAGATCCCTGTTTCTTGTCTTTAAACTGGGAGATGAGACAGGGAGCTCCCCTTCTCTCTTCCTCCTTCCACTGTAGCCTCCAGGCATCTCTGCATCAGCACAGAGCAGTTTTGGAAGTGGCTGGAAGTCTGTGAAGCCAGAAGAGGCCTGTGATCCTGAGGGCCAGGGAGGAATCTCCGCCAGCTCTCTGTCAGAGGAACAGCAGTGAAGAGTGAAGAACAAGCTAGACAAATGTTAGTAAAATGTTAGTCCTCCAGACGCAACAATAATTACAATAAATGTAAATGGCCTAAACTCAGCAAGAGAAGGACACCAGAATGAAAAGTGTGAAGGTAGGTTTGGGGGCTGCTTGTTTGTTTTGAAATAGGATCTCACTATGTGGCTCCGGCTGGCTCTAAATTAGTTATGGTTTCCAGGCTGACCTCAAACTTGCAGCAATCCTCCTGCCTCAGCCTCCCAAGTGCAGTGATTGGAAGAGTGCATCACCATGTCCACTATGTCCAGCTTGGATAATATAAAGGTAAGCAGAGGTAATTCTGTGCAGTCTACAATAAATCTGCTTCAAATACAATGGCTTAAATAAATTAGAAACAAAAAAGATGTATCGTGAAAACACTAAGAAAAATAAAGTCAAGGAATCTAGGTGACTATGTTAATACGAGACAAAGTACATGTCAGGAGAAGAAATTTACTAGGAATAAAGAGGGACATAATATGATAGACTTAATTTATGAGGAGATGTATATAACCATGTGTGTGCATTCATGAGATACATATGTCTGTGTGTGCTCATGTGTGTGCGTGTGTGTATACCTGTGGCGCTTCAAAATCTGTGAAAGAATACATAGTAAAATTAAAACCTAAGTGGAAAAATCCACAATTATAGTTGGAAATTTCAGCATGTCTCTCAGTAACTGACAGGCAAGAAGAAGTAAAATCAACAAGAATATAGAGAAACTGGGGTGGAGATACAGCTCAGAGGTTATGAACACTGGCTGCTCTTGCAGAGGACCTGGGTTCGATTCCCAGCCCCCACATAATCAACTCATAATGTCTGTAACTGCAGTTCCAGGGGACCTAACACCCTCTTCTGACCTCATGGGCACAGCACATGCATGTGACAGACATGTATAGCATGCAGGCAAAACACTAATACACATAAAGGAAAATGAATAAATCCTAGGACTAAAATAAAATGAAGATGTGTCTCTTCACACAAGATCATAGAGGCATCAAGTAACAGTACCAATCGACTGAATGTAACTAACATTTACAGAACCCCATAGGCAATAAAATAACTGTATGAAAGTTATTTTCAAATGGACACAATGTGTCTATAAGATAAGTCATGGACAGGTTGCACAAACCTTAACAAACTTAAAATAATTGAAACAGTACGAAGTAAGTTCACAGACCCTAATACAAGTAAAGTTGAAATAAAAGCCATAACTATAACTTTCTAAAAGTCTTCAGATATATAAGGGAGTACATTTCTTTTACAATGATGTTTGAAGGTTTGTTTTAGCGTACGTGCTGAGGGAAGGGCAGGGGTTCAGCACCCTAGGGCAACACCCACAGAATCCGGAAGAGCATGGGACCCCTCGGAGCTGGAGTGACAGGTGGTTGTGAGCTGCCCAGGGGTGGGTGCTGGAAACTAAGCTCGGGTTCTCTGCAAGGACGGCGGGCAGCTGCCGAGCCGTCTCCCCAGCCCATCAGCACGCTCCGAATCCTGCATGAGCTCAGAAAGCACAATACAAGGGAGCATGTCCCAACTCATTGCATAAGTCTCTTACTGTCCTAACACCAAAAGCAGACAGAGGTAGTACAAAAAAGAAAAAGAAAAGAAAAAACCCCCAATATCTTATATACACATACATGGAAAAATCCTTAACCAAGTATTAGCAGTACATAGGCAGTAACCCACAATGGTTTGACTGGTTTTTCGCAGGTATGAAATTCTAGTCCAATATTTGAAAACCAATCAATGTAATCTGCTATGGTAAAGACTGGAAACAAATCACATGATCCCGGTCAGTTGGTAGCATTTGACAGTTTAGGTCATCATGGGCGACAAAGGCGACAGAAGATTAGGCCCACGGGGACTTTCCCCGTCTGATAAAGAGCATCCGACAGCGTCACAGCACAGAAGCGAGGGTGCCCGCGGGCTGCCACCACTGCTATTCAGCCTGACATCAGAAACCTTCCCAGTGCAACCCAGAGGAAAACATCACACATCGGATCACCGCACCGTGCAAGGGACTGCTGAGCTAAAGCCAGTGTGCGGCCTGCGTATGGACAGGGGGAAAGGAAACTGCCGAGAAGAGGGCTCGATCTACAGGCCTTACGATACTCAGTTAAAATAGTTTATGTCATACAAATCATTGCAGGATTAGAAAACCTCAGAACAAACAATTCACACACACAAAACACACGCGCGCGCACACACACCCTCTTAGGGAAAAGCAGAATGACTCAGTAGGTAAAAGTGCTTGATGCCGAAACCAATGACCAGAAGACCCATGTGGAGGAAGGAGAGGGCTGTCTACGGCAGGTTGCCCTCTGACCTCCATACCCACGAACCATGCACGCATGTATGCACACACGCTAACATTCAAAGAAACATACTATCGAAACTTTAAACACATCTCTTAGAAGACTGAGCAGTCGGAAGCCTAATTTAAAACATACGCTCATTTGAAATAGCATCAAAATACACAAAGAGGGAAAGGCCAAAGTGAAAATCTAACAAAACATGCGGAACCTGTAAGATAAGAATTACAAAATGCTAAAAAGATAAAAATAGAGAGGTGTGTTAGGCTCCTGGTTTAGAAGATCTTTTAAGATGTAAGTCTCCCAGCCTGGCAGTGGGGGTGCACGCCTTTAGTCCCAGCTCATGGGAGGCAGAGGCAGGTGGACCAGCCTCTGAGTTCGAGGCCAGCCTGGTCTACAAAGAGAGTTTCAGGATAGGATAGACAAAACTACACAGAGAAACCCTGTCTGGAAAAAAGAAAGAAAGAAAGATGTGAGTCTCCTCAGGCTGATTTGTAGGTGAATGAATCCTAAAAAGATGTCAACAGAATTTTTTTTTTTGGTATCTACTTATAAGTTGGGGTAGCCAAATAATTTGGGGTAAGAATGTAGTTGGAGGGGCTCATTCTATTTTTTAAGAATGATTAAGGGAGATCTCTGTGAGTTCCTGTCTAGCAAGTACCAGGACAGCCAGGGCTACATAGTGAGACCTTGTCTCAAACAGACAAACAACAAACATAAACAAACAAAGAACCGACCAAGCAAAACAAAACAACAAAACAAAGCTCAGAGGCATTAACCGTCCCTGCGAAAAAGCCTTCTCATTTGTGTCTTTATTCACAGAGAAGCTGGAGCGTCCTCAATTATTCAGGGCTTGTACATATTAGCACAGGTGCCAGAGATACTGTGCTCCCCCGTGGTCCTTCTACCGAGAAACTCTGATCTACTTCCTGACCTCTGAGGCAGCTGAGGTCGGTCCTCAGGGAGGGAGCATGCACGGAACAGGAAGTGGAAACAAGCAGAATTCAGTTCTTTCTCGAAAGGCATCAGCCCCTTGCTAATCTTAATAGGAAAGAAAACTTACCCTCTTACCACTAAATCATGCCTCTGAGTGGTGGCTCTCAGAGTCCTGAGGGCAGCTCGCCGGTCTAGGTTGCGTGCCACAGTGAAGAGTGTGTGAGCGGTTGTGGGAGGGGCCCCTTCCACCCTCGACCAAATGACTCGCTCTGCCTGCCAGTGTGCGTGCCCCTCTCCTCAGAAGTGATGACTGTGCCTGCCATCGAAGGCAGATGGGCTCTAGTGCCTAGTCCAGGGCACTGCTGCCTTTCTGGAATTTAGCCAGAGGGAGGGTGAGGTTTTGACCGTTGCCCATCCAAAGACATCCTTGCTGTAAGGATCCACTCAGAGGTGTGCGTTTTCTTACTTGAGCAAGCGCCTTCTGTGCTGGCGGCGGCCCCACATCAGTTTTTTGCCCCCTTCTGCCCAACGGCCGGTCTTCAGGAAGCTGGGAAGTCAAATGAACGCCTTGATCCTCTTGAATGTAAACCAGGGCCAAAACCAGGAATAACTGTCTACAAGAAGAGCATGAAATTTTCCACCAGAGACTTGGAGCATCCTCTCAGGTGGCTCAAGGGCCCCTCTTTTCCCAGTTCCTGAACTTCTACAGAACACTGTGCATGTGGCAATACCCAAGGGTTAGAGATGGATGGATGAGATACAGCCTTGTCGTTAGGGACTACTGGTCTACCGTTACTTTTCTTTCTTACTATTGTGTGGGGTGCGGATGTGCCTGTCACAGAGCATGCGGAGGTCAGAAGGTAACGCTGTGGGGTCAGGTCTCTCCTTCCACCTTTACATGGTGTGATGGGTTGAACAACCCCCATAGGCTCATGTGTGTGCCGTAGGGAGTGACAGTATTAGGAGCCATGGCGTCTTTGAAAGGAGTGTGTCGCTGTGGAGGTGGGCTTTGAGGCGATATGTGCCCATTGTGACACAG